CCTTCCTACCACTCAGAATGTGTTGCTAATATTTCATTAGCTCTGCTCTCATCACCTGCCCACCAACCACCTCACTCTGTGCAGGTTCCAGAAGATATTGCAGACTCCGGGGCAAAGTCCCAAAATCTTACCTCAAGCATATCTGAGTAGGGTTGAGAGTTTTCATTTTTTTCTTGTAAGGTAAAATTTATGCACAGTGAGTTTTGAGAAGCACCCACATCTCTAGGGGCTATGCTGGGTCAAGGCTCACCATCATTCTACAGAGCTCTTCAGGCTCCTACCACCCTCAGAGACAACCAAGGTCCACCTTTTTTCCTAGTTTACCTGTGCCAACTAGAACTTCAGATTGGCACAGAATTTTTCACGTGGCCTATTTTCTGGAAGCACATCAGCATTGTGTCAGTGCCAGCACATACTGTGTGACCACGCATATCTGCTTCTGAGGGCATCCATGTGGACATTCTTATGGAAGTCTTGTGTGCACGTGTTTGCATGTGGTTTGAGTAGCTGTCTTATGGCATTATTAGATTGCACATACTCAGCTTATAGGAAGCCACTAGAACTCCCCTAGTGGCTCTGAGGTTTGTGTTCCCACCATCATGGCTTGCATATGTGTGTGTGTCCGTGCACATACACAGTGCTGAGGCTGGGACCTGGACCTCACACACATCCTTATCCCTTGTTATGCTTTAATTGGCATTTCCCTGGTGACAAATGATACTGATTGTTTTCATGTGCTTGTTGTCTGAATGTCTTCTCTTTTGAAATGACTCTTTGGGTCCTTTCACCTTTTTAAATTTGGTTGTCTTTTTATTATTGAGTTGTTAGAGTTTTTCTGATACTCTGGAGTGAGCTCCTTTGTTTTATGACTGCTTTTTCCTAGTCTTGCTTGTTTTCTTAGTTTTCCTGTGTTTTGAGTAGATACTTTTTATTGTGATATAGTCTGATTTGTCTTTTTCTTTCAATGGTTTTTGCTTCCTGTGTCCTGTCTAGGAAACCATTACCAACTCTCAAATCATAGAGCTATTTTCTTTTGCATTCTTTGAAAGCTTGGTAGTTATAACGATACATAAAAGCTCTTTCATATTTAGGCCAGTGATATATCTCAAATTAGTTTGTGTGTGTGTGTGTGTGTGTGTGTGTGTGTGTGTGTGTGTGTGTGTGTGTGTATTGTAAGGTATAAATCAAGGATACTTTCCTACGAATTCCTGTTCCATCACTCTGTGTTGAAAAGATCTGTTTCCCTTGTGAAGATTGTTTTTGTGCTTAAAAGTAGTCCGGTAGGTGAATTTGCTTTTGAGTTCTTTTGTTCTCATCCCTTGATCTATTTGTCAGTCTTTGACTTTGTTCTTTTTTGAGGTAATCTTAGATATCCTAGGTCCTTTGCTTTTCCATATACAATTGCTTTTCCATATACAATCAGCATTCAGTGACTATAAAAGTTTGCTGAGAGTATAAGGTTTGTGTTGGACTAGAAATCAATTTGAGGGGAATGAAGAACCAAACAATATTGAGTTTCAGTCCATGAACCTGGTATATCTCTCCATTAATTTAACTGTTCTTCAGTTTATATTAGTAGTGTATCGTGGGTTTTGATATGAGGGTCTTGTATCTTATTAAATTTCAAATATGTAATAATTTGGGAGTTGGCAGTATTACATTAATTTTTAAATTTCATTTCCCAATTATTTGCTGTTGGTGTATAATAATCTCTCTCATTTTGGGGAGAGGTACGCAGTTTGTCAGGGGGATCCAGGGCCTTTAACACACTAGACAAGTGTTCTAACCACTGAGCTAGCTACACACCAGCTTCATTTTTGTGGTTTCATCTTGTATGCTTTGCTTTGCTAATAGTGCTTTCATAGGCACCTTAAGATTGCATTAAGGACAATTGAACAGCTTCCTTTTGGGCCCTGTGTTTTGTTTCCTTACTCTGGCCCTGTTGCACTATAGGAGACATCTCCAGCACAGGGTTTGGAAAGCAGATACCCTGACCTCCCTCCCTGGGTCTCAAAAGGAAGAACCGTAGACTTTTCATAAATGTCCCTGATCCACTGGCAAAGTTGCCTCCTAATCATAGATCTGTAAAGAATTTTTACCAGAAAGAGCATCAAATCTGTCATGAGTGATCTGCTTCTGTTGAACTGGTCTGATTGTTCTCTGACTGATGAGGGACTTCCCAGTCCAGCAGACAGCCCTGGGATGTTGTGAGGCTGTATCCTTAGGCATACTAATCTCCGGCCACCTTTAATCCCTGCCCCACTCTGTGAGCCTCTAGGCCAGCAGCACCTCCTCCTGCTCCAGAGCTGTTGGATGCTTCCCCAGGGAGCTCCCTCCCTTTCCTCTAGATGACCACACCCTGCATCGGCACCCATCTCCTTGGTGAGATATCTGTACTGCAGTGTCTGCCCTCACCGTGAATCTAGTAGCTCCTAAGCTGGGAACAATGACTTGCTTTGACAGTACCTGTCCTTGCAGCCCCTCTCTAGGCACCTGTTCCTTCCCCAAGGTGCCCTCTGCAGTCTCCTCCCTGCGTTCTCCTGAATTCCTTGCCTTTTCTTGATGGTTCAGCCCTGTACTCGAGTATGCAGTGTGGAGGCCTCCCATCTGTTAGTGTTCTGCCTGTGTCTACAAAAGGCTGTAAAAACCCATGAATATTGATTTTGGGATTACAAATAAACTTCAGCAAAAATGACAGATTCACAATTACAGAATCTGAATAAAGAATATCAACATATTTGGAAATAAGATCTTATCATTACTGATTTAATTTAGGAGATCCATAAATTTAAGAAAAATTTACTGTTAATAAACAGTCGGTTTTGTAAGCACCATGTTTTCCCAGTCTTAGAATTAAAAAGCTATGAGTCCAGCACCTTCCTACTTCACCGTTGAGATAATTAATGCCAGGCCTAACAACTAGTTACTGTAGAGTCTTGATTTTTAAACTGGTTTTTCCCAGGCACTCCCCTGGGTCACCATTGCACTCCCAGGACACAGAGAGGCACCCTGTACTGTCGCCTTCCCAGTGCAGGTATCAGAGTGAAAGCAGTTGAAATTCAGCCAAAGCCGTTCTGCTCCTTAGATGCAGCATCTGGGGATAATGGAGCTTCATGAGCAAAACCACACCTCACAAAATTGGCCTGTGTTTAAGTAACATTGCAATTTAAGAGATTGATCTCTAAAGTAGTGTTTGAAGCGTTTACAGAACATCCAGAATCCACCCACCGAGTCTGCTCTCCAGCACCAGGGTCTGTGGAGCTGCCCCCTTCCTGCTGGGCAATGTTAGATAAGGGCACAGCCAAGCATGCCTCTGTTCCAGCAGGGGCCCTGCGCGTAGATCAGTGGTGGCAAATCAGTGGCACACATGCCACAGTGGGCTGTTTATATCATTGAAAGCTCTAAAAGTTTACCATCAGTGGAACTGGATGCTCCACGGGAGCTGGTAACTTGCAGGGGTGAGGGCAAAAGATGCAGCTCAACCAACACTTGGGAAACAACAGAGATAAAGCAGGCTCGCCAAGAGGGGTGGAGGGCAGCTCGTGGAGGTGGCCAGCAGTGATGAAGAAGGGCCAGTCACATAGCCATGCAGTGGCCCAGGGATGGGGACCAGCTCCCAGCTCTCCTGATACCCTGCCCCGCCTCAGGCTTCTTGTCTCAACCAGTGTCCTCATGAGTTTCCAGCAGAAGGGGCATCAGATAACCTATGTCTGGTTCTTAGCTAGGTTCTTCGAGCCACATGTAGTTGACATTCTAGCCCAACATCCATTTCTTCAGATCCTGCTTTGTCTGGGCCATGCCCTGAGACCTCTGCTCTTTCATGAGGAGGCAGCACCTGCTCTGGATGCCATCAGGCACCCTGGCCACTTTCTAAACCATTTGCTTTTTGATGCTTGAAATAAAGATTTGTGCACTCCTGTAGGAAAGAAGGGAACACGATTTCATCTGTAAATAGGTAAAAGTAACTGAATAAACTGAAAAGCTTAGAATCATGCGCTTGATTTTTCTATCTCTTCTATTCTGAATAATAGCTTTGCTTTTTTTTTTTTTTTTTTTGAGACAGGGTTTCACTATCTGGTTCAGGGTAGACTTGAGCTCACTGTGTAGCCCAGGCTGGTCTCCAGCTCATGCAGAACCTCCTGCCTCAGCTTCCCAAATGCTGGAACCCACCTTTGGTTTTGGTTTTGGTTTTGGTTTTTAAACAAATATGTGCTGTGGCATTTAGGCTGTGTCTGACTCTTCAGTTCACATCATTATGTTGCCAGTACCTAGCCCGGTGTTCAGCTGTTTGCTTGTCAAATCCATGAATAGATTGCTACCATGTACTTGCTTAGAAATACTCCTCCACTTACAATGGGGTTGCATCTCAACAGACCCATCCTGGTTTGAAAATACAAAAAATGGAATCACATTTACCATACGTGACCTGAATGCCACCCCCAGCAGCACAGCCCTATGGGGTACAACCAGAGCCTACAGAGTGCAGATTCTTCTCCTGGTGGTCTTGGGGATGACTGGGGGTCATATCACCAGTCCAAGAAAAGATGCAAACTCAGAATCAAAAGTACAGTTTCTACCAAATGCTGTCACTTTGGTATTGTCATACAGTTTAAAAATTGTAAGGTAGAACATGATAATTGTAAAACCTTCTGCAGTTCATGTCTTAATAAAATAGGTTCTTGAATCTTGTTTTGTCACTTCATCTACTAGTTTGGTTTTCTAAACTAGCAAATGTATTTTTAAGTCCTCTGTTCTAAATCCAGCAACAGAGCTTATTAAAGGAATCTTTGTCTTCACATAGAGGGATGATCTCTATATCCATAGTGGCAGCATTCCTGGGACGCCAAAAAAATCAGAATTTCCACCCGCTTGGGCTGTCCTGGCACACCAGGGGTCTCTGCCTTAAGTGTTACTTAGGAGTGCATTTGTGTTGAGTGGATTTAGCCTGTTGACTCCAAGATGCATGTATCCACGTGTTTTTCTTTTTTTTCTGGTTTCAGCTGACACTGAAGATGTGTGCATTGTAGAAAGATTGTTCTCCAGCAGCTTAGTGGCCATCGTTAGCCTCAAAGCTCCCAGGAAGCTGAAGGTTTGCCACTTTAAGAAGGGGACTGAGATCTGTAATTATAGCTACTCCAACACGATTCTGGCCGTGAAACTGAACAGGCAGGTGAGTGAGGCTCTGGTATGGATTTTAGTGTACATTGCTCCCTGTCCCTCTGCTTCCAGCCTGGCATGGTTGTCTCCTCCAGGGCCTCCAGGGTGGATTAGAGGGTTGCACCATGCAGCTCCCACCAGCCAGCCATCCCTGTGCTGGGCACACCTTGGCCAGAGGCTGACTGCTCTGCTCTCTCCTCAGCAGCTTTGTCCCAACCATCACATTCATTAATGACACTGCCTTCCCCTGCCAGGCTGTTTCACCCATTCTTTAAGACACAAGTCTTAACAAGCTTCTGTCTGTTCATTTGCTCATCATGGGTTGGGGATTTAGCTCAGCAGCAAGCTGAGGTGATGAGTTCAATCCCTGGTGCCAAAAAAGAAAAAAAACTTTACTCATCCAGAGATGTCCAGTTGTTTATGTATCTTTTGCTTATGTTACTTTTTTAAAATGTTTCAGACCATTTTATTCCTTCTATTAAGTTGTCAGTTTGACTTGTATATTCCCCAAAACCCAGCAGAGTTGGTGAGTAGCCCTTGGGTTTGTTCAGGAGTCTCCTCTGGCTCAGGTTAGCACACGGTCCAGGTCTGCCCATTAGCTCCTCCGTGTCTCCCAGCTCTGGCAGCGCTGCACACCCGAAGGGAAGGCTGACTTGGCCCCCAGAACAGAGTGCATGCTATAGCTGGAACTGACTTCTGGTTGGAACTGGATGAAGGCAGCCCTCTCACTAAGATACACCTCCTTAGCACCAGTTTGGTCTGTTAAGTGACAAAATCAGTTAAACTGGGAAATCAATGCATGTAATAGCTTGAAGGTTTTAAAAATTTAAGATACATAAATGTTCCTTCCTGTCCCAACAAAGAACTGTGTGCATGCCAGGTTGTCTTTCTTGTCTGAATCATTCCCTCAGTGGATCCTCTAAATGTGCATGCATTTTCTGTAAAATGGGCAAGAACTTGCAGCAAAATAAGCTTCATTCAGAATAAAATTTTTTACTTTTTAAAAATTCTCATGTTTTTATTTTTACTTTACCCATGCCTCATTCAGTATCAGTCTTTATATTTTTGTGAGTTTTTAAAATTTTTGTTTGTCTGTTTTGGAAACAAGAGTTTTGTTATGTAGTTTAGGCTGGTTTCAGATTTACAGTGATCCTCCTGCCTCAGCATCCTGAGTGCTGGAATTACAAGCGTGTGCCCTCACACCTAACTTACTACCGGTTTTTAGGAGTTTTTTTTTTTTTTCTTTCTTTTTTGTTTTTTGAGACAGGGTCTCACTGTGTAGTTCAGGCTGGCCTTGAATTCATTATGTAGCTCAGGCTGGCCTCAAAAGTCGTGGCAGTCCTCTTGCCTCAGCCTCCCAAGTACTGGGATCACAGGTATGCACGCACTACCACGCTCGGCCTAGTATCAATTCTTAAAAGCAGTTGCCTTTATCAAATCTTTCCAAAGCCCGCTTTCCATGTAGTTCAGCATGATAGCAAGTTACATTAGTTAGAATTCCGGTGCTCCTGTGCCCACTTCTGGCAGTAGGAAGCCTTCTGCATCCCAAACCTTGAACATCCAGCCTGTGTAGATGGATGAGTAAGGAATGGAGAGCGTCTTAACCAGGACTTGGCTAATAGAGAACCAGGGACATGTGCCATAGCAAGTGTTTCTTCATGGTAGGTTTTCTGTGTTCTCTCTAGAGGCTCATTGTGTGCCTGGAGGAGTCTCTCTACATACACAACATTCGGGACATGAAGGTACTGCACACCATCAGGGAGACCCCCCCAAACCCTGCAGGTAAACTTGTTTGTGAGAATCTTTCTGATTTTGCCTTGTGAGATCAGCTTTAGGATGCTGGGTGCGATACCACACACCTGTAATCCCAGCGCTCTGGGAGGCTAAGTCAGAAAGACTGCAATTTTTGGCCAGCCTGGACAACTTAATGACTTAACAAGACAGGGACCTCTTCTCTGAGTCCCTGAGTCCTTGGCTACGTCTGAGCCTGCTAAAAAACTTTCTTAATTGTAACTGTAGGTGAGAGATTTTTTGTTTCTTTATGTAGGTTCCATGGATGAGACCAATTTTTAAAGTTGTGGCTTTAAACCAGTCAGCTTTCTATTAAAGCTGATCAGTGGCCAGTACCAGCTCTTTGATTTGCTCAGTGTTCAATACATAACCTTTGCTGGCTTTTGAGGTTACTGATCATTGCAAAGCAAAAGTCTTTTTATAGTGTTGACATCACCTAAGTTGGGTTGGGGATACCAAATTTTTAAAAATGCTGTTAGCTTATCAAAATGGTATTTTATTTGTGATTTTTAAAATAAATGCTGAATTACAACTAGAAAGGCACACTATCAGACTTGACTTGAACCTGTTGTCCATGTGTTACTACAGGCTTGTGTGCCCTCTCAATAAACAATGACAACTGCTACTTGGCGTACCCAGGGAGTGCCACCATCGGAGAGGTGCAGGTCTTCGACACCATTAACTTGGTGAGGGCTCTTTTGTATTTGGTTAAGTCTTTAACATACTAACATGGGGCCATAATTCATATGTCCCACTGCTGGACGGCTCTGATGTGGACATGTTAGGTTCCCGCCAGCTTACAGGTGCTAAGGTGGTACATGTGTGACTGTCTCATTTTATTAGCAAAAAGATGGATAAAAGTATTTAGATCCATGTGTAGCAGCAGTGACACCAGTGCCCCGATGGGACAGTCAAGCATGTACCCTGGAATCTTTAGCCCAACTGCACAGTTATCACTCCTCTCAAAGGTGGAGCAGGGCTGGTTGAAGCTGCCTCCCTGGGTCCCCGAGTGCTGAGCTCCTGCAGTGGGGGTGTCCCAGGCAGTGTGGAGACCTTCATGGAGAAAGTGCTGTGTGTCTTAGAGTCTGAGCAGCACTTGCGTAGCCCCACCCCAGTCAGTCAGGTGGACTTGATGTCGTATTGGCCAAATGGTGGCTCAATGGTGGCATTTCGGTCTGCTGACAGACAGTAGCACAAGGCACAGGCTTTCATGCATGGCAGCCATGTTTTGTTGGTTTATTTCAGAGAGCTGCAAACATGATCCCAGCCCACGATAGTCCTTTAGCGGCGCTGGCTTTTGATGCAAGTGGAACCAAACTTGCCACTGCTTCTGAGAAGGTAGGTGCTATGGCCCAGGAAGAAGTGGGTCGAAGGCCTCAGTTCCAGCTCTGTGCACGCAGACAGGTTTTAGTAATGCTGCCTTGCAGAGAAGCCATGCGGCCACGATGGTAACTGCCAGGGAGTAAGGGAAACGTGTGTGAGTCCACTTTCTGTCCCAGCCACAGTCTGTCTTCTAAGGAGGAAGGCCTGGGCTCACTGGCACTTTGTCCCAGGCACAGAACAGCTAAGCACAGGCTGCAGGGCAGGGCCCAGCTGCTCACCTCAGGACAGCCTGGGGAGGTGGGGACCAGGCACTGGTCTCACTTCTCCCCACCAGGCCCCGCCTCTTAAACTCCTACGCTCAGCAGCAGCACTGCCCTCATCCAGCTCATGGCCTTGGGGGTGTTTACTGTCCTGACTGTGACACTGTGTCATTGTCTGACAAGAAGACACACACTTGTCGTGGAAAACACGGAAAGGCACAGAGCAGATGCAACTGCATTTCTAGCCAGGCCACTGTCCCCAGTGTGTCTTCAAACTGTGATGTTCACGTTCTGTGGGGGAGAGTTTAGAAAATAAGGAAAAGTGTAAAAGTCAGAGAGAGGCCAGTAAGAACGTCTGGGTTGAGATGCTGTGGCCTAGCCAGGGGTGGTGGCTCAAGCCTGTAATCCCAGCACTCTAGGAGGCTGAGGTCGGACAACCTCAAATTCAAGCCTGTCCTAGACAGTTGAGTGAGTTATTGAAACCACGTTCCAAAATAAAAAGGGCCACGGCTGTAGGTTCATGTAGTGGCTCTAAGTTCAATTTCCATTACTGAAGAGGGGGAAAGTGATCTTTTTGGCTTTTTTTGAGGGGTGTAGGAAGGTTTGGATTTTGTTCTTCAGGCTAAGCACCAACAATAAAGGCGCACAGGCTAATTTAATATAATTGAGTGATTTTATAAGCACTTATAAAATGATACACTATTTTTTAAATTTTATTTTAAAGAGGATAAAATTAAACAGAACAAAAGAGATCATAAGAAAACAATTTAAGAAACACAGATTTCGAAGTAAGACCACAGGAGATCTTCACTGTCTATCATACTGTCTCTTGTTTTCTTCCAAATAGTTATCCATATCTTCACACACAGTGAATTCATACCAAATAAAATAGTATAAAACTGATCAGAACAGGATGATGAAGGCATTTTAGGTCTTCAAGACCACACAGTAGGGAAGTCAATAATAGCTGCCATAGTGTGTCTCATTCTCTTGAAAATAGTTGTCCATACCTTCAAGTATGTTGAAATTAAAACAAAACAGACCAATATCACTGTGAACAAAGAATAATAATATTGGTAGATTTTATATCATGATGCTATGGAATTAGCGCTGGGTACCTTAGTGTGTCTTTTTCTTCAGAGTATCTGTTCATTTCATCATGCATTGTATAATCAATTCTCGTAAACTGTTTGGAAGTTATGTGCATGCATGAGTCTACCTATCCTTTCTGTATTAGAAGGAAAAACAAATCAAACCAAGACAAAACAAAACAAATTCCTAGAAAAACACGAAAGGAAAAAAACATATAAAGCCACAATACTAGGTGATCTACAGTAGTTACTATGATGTCTCTTGTTATTTTGAATAGAATTGTCTATATCATCAGGCATAGTATAATTGAACATAGCAGTACATAGCAATATTAATAAAAACAAAAAACATTATAGATAGTATAGGACTTCAAAAGCAGTTAGTAATCAAACTGGAATGGGTATCCTACTGCATCTTGTCATCTTCTGAGTAGTTGCCTCTACTCCCAGATCTGATACAATCAAGCACACCAGATTCGAATAAAATCAGCCAAGACAAAACAGGGATCTAACAAACCAGATTCAAAAAAGGTCAGTCATAAGTAAGACAGCATAAGTAATTCAGGGCTTCAGATTAAGTTAATAGGAAATTAAGGATAGTTACCATAGTATATCCTGCTATTTTTGGAATAGCTGTCTGTGTCTTCAAATCTAGTACAAATTGGGGCTGGGGATTTAGCTCAGCGGCATAAGCGCCTGCCTTGCCAGCAGGCAGTCCTGAGTTCGATCCCTGGTACCGATAAAAACAAAAAAGACCAAAAAAAAAAAAAAATCAAATCTAGTACAAATAAACAGACTGAAACAGAATAAAATCAAACTAAACAGTGGTAAGAATAATGGGAATTTCAAATCCTGATACACTATTAATAATGTCCTCTGCCTGCCTTTTTTTTTTTTAAAGACAGTTCTTCCCCTTTTACTTTTCACAGGGTGCTTTGTACATTTTGGGTCCCATTAACTCCTTTAGTTTTTAGATTAGGGGGGCAACCCGTTATCTACCTATGTGGTTCTGAACCTTTTTACTCTTGAGCTTGATCTTCAGTTGTATTCCTTTACCTACTAAAGCCTCAAGGTTTTCCTTCCTGATAGCTGAGTAGTTCTCCACTGCACAAAAGTGTCATGTCTTTCCAATCTATCTTCAGCTGCTGAACAAGCTGTCCCTATTTCTCTCTGGTCCCCTGTCACATAGAGCATTGTTTTCTCATCTTTGACTTTCGGTTCATTAACCCTCTTTCAGGTAGATTATATTTCCTATACAGAGCATCTCAATGGACCCTATCTTCTGATCTACTCTGCCTGTGTTTCTTTTTGTTAGTGTATCAAGGCCATCTGTGTTAGAGATTATAGCCAACCTCCTCTGCCTCATCTCGGCTATGCTATTTTTCTGCCGTTGGTTGTCTACTTTTCTCCTTCATTCCACTGTCTGCCCCATTCACTGAGGCCTTTCTGCCACTGTTCCTAGAATCCTGGTGATTTTTTTTCTCTCTAGAATGTCCTTTAATATTTTTTGTAGGGTTGAATTGGTAGTCACAAATTCCCCCAGTTCCTCTTTGTCATGGAAGTATCTTGTTTCTCCATTAATTTTGAGTGACAGTTTTGCAGAGTATATCAATCTGGGTTGGAGGTTATTTTCTTTCAAGGCTTGGAATACTTCACTCCAAGCTCTTCTTGATTTGATGGTTTCTGTTGAGAAGTTTGTCGTGATTTTGATGGGTTTTCCTCTATAGGTGATTCTTTTCTTTTCTCTGACAGCTTTTAATATTCTGTTCTTGTGATGAATTTCTGGGATCTTGATTATATGTCTGGGTGTATTCTGTTTTGGTTGTAGCTGGCTGGAGTTCTGTATGCCTCATATCTGGATATTGTTTTCTTTTCTTATGCTTGGGAAGTTTTCTTTAATTATTTCTGTGAATAGCCTTGTAATTCATTTGTGATTACTCCTGCTTCTTCATTCACCTTTTTTATTCTTAAATTGTAGATCCTTATATTGTTACCTCCTAGTTTCTTGTTTTTAAGAGATTTTTCCTTTTCTCGATCACACATTGCAAACCTGTCTTCAAGTTTTGAAAGTCTAACTTTAGTTTCTGTCAAGTAATTTTGCCAGCTTTCAATGGAGTTTTTAATTACCTGATAATCTCTTTGGATCTGTTTCATGTATTCTAGGTTTTTTTATATGCTTCATCGACAATTTCTCTCCTTTTTATGGGTTCCTCCATTCTTCCATCTGTGTCTTTTTGATAGATGCTTAGCATTTCTTTTATTAATCTTCTTATATCTTGCTTTGCTTGAATTAGAATTTCAGTTTTGAATTCGTCTATGAGGTCATGAAGATATTTCTTTATGTCCGCTGATGCTGTATCCAATATTGCATGATTGCTCCTCTTAATCTCTTTTGTATTTACCTCTGCTTGACTCATTTTCCCTGGGTCAGTGGCTGGAGACTTTTTCTTGTTTCTTTCCTTTGACATGTTTCTGGTTTCTTTCAGACAGGTGTATGGTGGAGGTCTCAGGCCCTTTCCATACTGCTTAAGGTTTTTCTGAAGTGTGCTGGCTAGGGGCTGGCTGCCTTCTCCAGTTTACTGTTGATCTGTGAGGTGCACATGTGGGCTGGCTCCTCTCCATCAAGCCAGTCAACTGGCGAGTGCCTTCAGCACATTAGTCTGTGCCATGCGGACGTCACAGGTTCGGGACAGTTTCATCCATGGCTATTGGGTCCCAACCAGGGGCGTGACTCAGCCCAAGCAGATCCCACCAGACCACTCTGGGCCAGGAGCAGCCAGCTGATGCCACTGCATTTCTGGATTCAGGCCAGTCCTGCCCAACACCAGTATGTCGTGCAGCTGGTCACCCCCTCTATGGGACTAAATTCCTAGCACTCACTACCAGTTAGTGCAGCTCTCCATGCCAGTTCCATTCTCCAGTGTGGTGTATCCTCCCACCAAGGGCCCTGGGCTCACCAACCCCTGACTTCAGCGTCACCACGACCTGAGCGCGACCATGAGTCATCTGACTCCAAGGCGCCCAGTACAGCATGGGACCAGCTCCAGTGAGAGCATGTCTGGTTCCAGCCTTCTGTCCACATTTTTCCTTTCTTTCTTTCTTCTTTTTTTAAATTTTTTTTTTTTTTCTTTTTCTTTTTCCTTAGTTTCTTCCTGGGTCGTGAGAATCCCTCTCCTTTCATCTGGTCTTCTCCATGATATTAAATTCTAGCATCTGAATTGTTTCTCTGAGAGCAGCTCTCTCAAAACCAAGGTCATACAGAGGATGGGGCACTTGCATTATTTAACCCACACATTATTTAGCCCAACATATATACATATGTATGTATGTATGTATATGTTACTGAGAACACATACACAGCCATGTCAGCAGACCTGAGAAAGGAATTTCCCAGAAAGACTCACAAACCCCTTCATTTATGCTGCATCCAGCTGTCTCACTCTAGGGAGGGTAGAGCAGTGGCTCTCCTCACATGCACTCAGGGCTGATGGTTGCTTTGCTGTCACAGTCTGAGTTTTAAATGCATTCTGAGCACTGCACACAGCCATCTCCTCCTGGAAACCCACATTGATGAGTTGCCCCACTGTGGTGCTCTGGAAAGTCTGTGTCCCCTGAAATCCTCTTGTCTTCCATAACAAGCTTGATGGCCATCTGTTTGCCTCTGTTCTGTCAATAGCAGGCCCAAGTGTATAAGCAGAGTCCTGTGTGCTCACAAGCCAGTGGTGGCACCCATTGGAACGCCCTCGTGGTAACACCTTTCACCTCTGTCCCCATGCTGTGCATCCTAAATCCTAACTCAAGACACCCTTTGAGTCGTGCTTCATTTTATCAGCGTTAGGTGACCCCAAGCATCCATAGCTGCTACAGGGGTTTGAAAACCAGATGTGATTAAGAAATTGCTGTTTTCTCAGAGAGGGATGATCACAGATTTGGCCTGTGGCCTCTTTTCTTTGCTTTTACAGTAGGTTATTTCCAGTGTCCTTGCCGGCCAGGAACTTGCAGGCTCAGGGGCTCTTTCTGCCTCAACCCCACTGAGTCCTGGGACTGTAGGCATGCACCATCCACCAGGCTCCACACAGCCTTCTTTAAATACCTCCACTCCCAGAACAGAGCAGTATGCTGCCAGATGTCAGCATGACTCTAGCAGGCTCTCCTGGTCTTCCAGGCCTAGACCCCCACCTCATCTGCCATGTTGGTCCTGCTTTCCCTCCAAAGCTCTGTCCTGCTCTTCTCTCTTGGAGACTGTGTTTGTTTTCTTGTCATTGTTCTTTTCGGAGCACCAGTCCCCTCTGCACATGCCAGCTGCACTTGGATTTTCATTTCCTTCTCCCTGAAGTTCTAAATCGTCCTCCCCTCCTGAGTCTGCGCCTCCCTCAGTCCCACTTCCCAGGGACTTGTTGTATTCTTTGTGCCACCTGATCACAGCATAGCATTCTCTCATTTCATGCCAAGAGCTCAGAGCAGCTGCCTGGGCTTCTCCCATTGCTCACTGTCAGGTTTGGACTCCAAGCCTCTGATTGTGCTAGTAGCCAGGTATATCCCATCCATGGCCCACAGATCATAATCCTGGTGCTCAGCTAACTCCTGCAGGGACTGTGTGGACAGCAAGGGCACTTGACTGGGAAGGACCAGAGCAGCGCAAACTCCACATCCTGTGCCCTGCAGCACAGTGGTCCCCTGAAGCTCTTGTGCCCCTGGGCATGTGAAACACAGCTGCCTGTCAATTATATTTCAGCCTGCCTGCACTTGTGCACCTGAAAGTGTCTGTTCTTATTATGCAGATATGTAGCTTTTCTTACTAAACTTGGGCTTGGGTTATTTCATCAAGGTATTTTAGTAAGTTAAAATGTTTTACAAAGGACACTTTATTACCTGTGTACATTAACTATATTATGTGTTTCACATGTAGTACAAGTTCCTCTTCACTCAGTGCAGTCCAGGCAAGCCCAAGGTTGGGCACCTGTGTGCTAGACCAGCCCACATGTCCCCTTGCCCAGCTCCTCTGGGAGTGTGAAGTCCTTACCCCTTAATCAAAATCTTGCTGTTATGTTTCTTCTTAGCTCTTAGTACTTCAAGCACTTGGGATTTCAAAACCACTAAAAGTAGAATAATTTTTTCCAGAATAAAGAAAACCTCTTCATTTCCATTTAAACAGAATCCAGTCTTGGGATGATATCACTGGGCTTCCTCAGGCATGCTGTGTTCTGGGACCAGGCCACCAAGGCGTGTAACTTAATCCCGCTTTCAAGGAACTTGGTATCATGTCCCCTTGCAGCCCTTAACTAGTACGACAGAGTGAATTGCTGTTGGTGGCCTACACCTCTAAGCCCAGCACTCTGGGAGACTGAGTCAGAAGGATCACAAATTTGGGGTCAATTTAATGACTCCTTGTTTCAAAAAAAGGGCCAGGTAACTCAGTGCAAAGGCCCTGGGTTTGAGCTGTAAAAGAGAAGCCCTTCGCCTTGTTTTTGTGTGTGCATGCGTAAAACATCGTGTCCCTGTGACTCTTAGAGCTGCTCACTCAGTGGTGTCCTTGCATTGCATCCAGAGGGAACCACTGCTCTCCAACTCCATGTCCAGAAATGACCTGCCTCGCCCGCCACAGTCTGCTTCCTAACCACCTGCACTGTGTCCCCTCCTCGGCCCACTGCGAGTTAGATAAACAGCTCCTTTCTGTGCCGTGCTTCAGTGGTCTGCACCTTTCTAGCTATTTATAAACATGCAAGGTTGCCCTAACCATTTTTATATGTAGCAGTCTAAACCTTCTAAACTGTGGTGTGAGGTTAAAGGTTGAATAATTCTTCCTACGTGCAAATCTGAAATGTGGGCTATTAAAAGGTTTCCATTCTGTTTGCCCGTTTATTTCTTTTTGTGCTCCTTTAATGCCAGCATTTAACTGAACATTTTGATAGTCTCGCGTTGGAAGTCCTGTTCACTTCTCCTCTTGGCTTCTGACTCATACTCATTCTTGCTTGTGTTCACATTCTGTCTCACCCATGCATAGCCCTGTTAACTTGCTTGAGGGAAGGGAGATAGGAGACGTGGAGAAAGCCATGCTCCTAGGCTGTTCACTGTAAAGCAGGGAAGTGCTGCAGCTTTCCAAGTATTCATATTTTTTCTCTTGAAAAAATATGAAAGTTTATTTAGCAATTTGTTATGTTTTAATGTACTACTTCTAAGGCAGCCAGGTAAAATTTCCACTACCAAATTCTAATAGTTCAAATGTCTTACATTTCACATTAGGCTTCCAGGCTGTTTGTTGTGTTTAGAATAACAATAAATTGAAGTAGGCTGACAGAGACAGGTGGGCTGCTGGGTACATGCCGTGGTATGGGGAAGCCCAAGTCAGCCTGTGGAGTTGCGGGCATGGAGGAGAAGGCCCTACACTTCTCCCAGGAAGGTGCTGTCGCTGGAAATGGACCACAAAGTTCATTGTTATCTGATGCAAAAGAAACATAAAATGTCAATTTGCTCAGCTTAAAATCTGCCTTTTTTCTTTCCCTGTTGCAGGGGACCGTGATTAGGGTATTTTCCATTCCTGAAGGACAAAAACTTTTTGAGTTCCGGAGAGGAGTAAAGAGGTAAAGTGTGTAATTCCCTGGGCTAACTCTGGAAGTTGCATCTGGATTTTGATTTCAGTTTTTTGTGACACACAAGTATGACTTGAAAGAACAATTGAGAAATTCTGCTTAAATACAAAGCCATTTTCTACCCACCAGGACAACTTACCAGCGTTCAGAATCACTTTGGTCAGGGCAGGTAGATAGCACTTTCATGAAAGCGTGGTAGATCTCTGTATCTGGGATCCCCTGCATGGACAGCTAGTCAGGGGGCCCAGGACCTTGGGAAAGCTGCTGTTCCCTCGCCTACCCTTCAGTGCAGACACAAGCGCATGCCTGTATTCTGTCTGTGCCCCCAGCACTGCACTAGCTCTCTTTACCCACTGGCAGATGACTAGGGCCAGAAGTCACCATGAGGATCCCCTGGACTGCCCCACACATAGAGCAGGTGTGCCTCGGTGCCCCATTTCAAAGACAAGGCCAAATGTCATGGTCCCTGCCAGTGACTCCCTGCTGTTCTTATCCCTTGGACTTCACACACTCCTCTTTCCAGATGGTTCTTCTTGTGCTCCTGCCCACTGACCCTGGGCACTTTAGACTGAAGGCTGGAATGTGCCCATCTGCTCCTCGTCCCTTACATCCCTCACCTTGATACATGACTCAGGGCCCAGCCAGAGCTTCACCATTGCCCTTTTCCTCCAATACATCTAAGTAGTTCCTACTGTGCCCCCCATCTCCGGCCATGTGCCCTGAACTCGTACTCACCTGGTGTTGACAGACGATGTCAGGATAGCCAGGTTATAGCCTACCCAAAACTTTCCCAACCCCTCTGCCTATAGGATGAGCCTCTCTGCCCCAGGCCCATAGTCCTTCTGCATCTACCCTGCCTTTCTCTCCCCACCTGCCCTCCCCTTCTAGCCTCCCTGGATGTCCAGGTCTTCAGCAGAGCACAAGTGGCTTTGTGGGTCCCACAATACTGTCCCTTCCCTGGCCAGCTTCATAACTGGAGTCCACTCACTGAGGCCTTGCTGGACCGTCACATAGTGACATCTCATTGCTCTGTAGTTTACAGAAACTTTCATGTGTTCTTTCTAGCATACTTAATATCTTCACACCCACATCAGCACCATTAAGGCTCCACCACTCTTGCCTCACTTACCCTTGGGGCTAAGTATAGGGGCAATAGGTTGTAAACACTGTGTAAAAATCTGTTAAATTGAATAAAACACTATTGCTATTGCAAGTGGTACCTTACATTTCCAGAGTTAGGAGAAAATTCCTATTGATATAAGGGCTTTGAGATTTTTCAGTGATGTGTAAGATTCACTGTAAAGACTTAGCATGCGGAAGGTTGTGCTCTGTGTAAATATCAAGCTTGGTGATTTACCCTCTGACATGATAAAAATTTCAGTAATTTAAAGTACTGGGTTTTCTTTTACTAATTGTAGGGTTCTAAGTCCATCCCAATGCAGCTAAGATGGTTCGGTACCATTCTGATTCCCTTTATTTGAAATTGCAGAGCAAATGGTTCTATCTAAGAAGGTATTACAGAATTGATCAGACCTGATTTTACCTCCTGAACATTTTCCTCTCTCAAGTAAGTTTCTGAGGAGATGCTGGAGACGAATGAGAGGGCACTGGTAGACCCAAGTCCACCCATCTTGGAGCTGTCCTTCCATCTCAGAGAAGCATTGTTGGGAGCTGGGGCACCTCTCACGTACCCTGTCCTACAGGTGTGTGAGCATTTGCTCGCTGGCCTTCAGCATGGACGGCATGTTCCTCTCTGCGTCTAGCAACACAGAGACCGTGCACATCTTCAAGCTGGAGACTGTAAAGGAAAAGTGAGTTGCAAAGAGAGATCTCTTTTCTTATCCTTAGTATTTTGGAGACCGAAAGAGACATTGGAGGGGTAAGCCAATGCCCTGTAGATGCTAGGTCCATGCTGTACCACTGAGCCACACCCTGCCCCCACATTTTTAAAAACTCATGGAACACCGTGTACCTTGACTGTCCAGATAGAAGCGTAGTATAAAGTCTCCCTGCCTCATTATCCAGTACAGTCCTGGCTTGGTGACACCACACCAGGTTCGGCACATGGCCAGTGGACCCTACTCCCTGACTTCTGATGGGGGCAGCAGGGCCACAAGATGAGGCAGGCCAACTGGTGGCACATGCCTATAATCCCAGCACTTAGGAGTGCAAGCTAGCCTAGACCACATAGCAAAACACTCTGTAAAAAAAAAAAAAAAACAAGGCCAGGTTGGCGCTTCAGACATCACATAAGCATCTTGTGGCCAGGACCCCTCCATTCACCCAACATACACAGAGTCAGTGAGGCTCAGAGCACCCACTGGAAGGACACCAACCTGCCCTCAGTGGGGAGACAGGGTTGTTTCAGTCTCATAGTAGGTGATTTGAATACTCTCTATATTTTTTTTTTTGAAACAGGCTTTCACTGTGTACTTCAGGCTGTGTGATCCTCCTGCCTCAGCCTCTCTCAAGTCCTGAAATTACGGGCATGTGCCACCATGCCTAGCTGTCCTTAAATTTAAAAAAAAAAAAATCCTTTAAGTCTCAGTATTGTTTAGGTTGAGTCTTATGCAAAGCAGATGGAGGGACTCTTTTTTTTTTTTGGTTTTGATTTTTTGAGACTGGTCTCATTGTGTATTTCAGGCTGTTTGAACTCTCAACAGTCCTCCTGTCGCAGCCTCCCGAGTGCTAGGATGACAGGGTTATGCCACCACACCCACCTCAGTGAAGGGAGAAGTTCCGGCTAAACTGTCAGCTGGATTGGACCAAGATATGAGAGGCCAGGGGTGTAATTTAGTGATAAGAGTACTTACCTAGCATGCTGGAGGCCCTAGTTCAGCCCACAATACTGCAGTAAGGAAATGAACAATTGGAGATTGTGCTCAAAGTTTTTAGAGATTTCCTCCTACATAGCAGGGCCTAGTGAACTGCTTTTGCAGAAGTCAGCTGGCTGCTCAGGAGAGCCAGGCTCCTCCTGTTCTGACTCTGTCCCTTCCTCTGAGGGACATCCTCTGGCCTGAGCCTCTGTTTTCTGTAGCCCCCACTTATATAGAGTGGGACTTTAGCCATTGTGAATAACAGGGCAGTTGGTGAATAACAGGGACGCGTGCCTTCCGGTGAGGGCCCCCTAATGAGTCTGGTGGTCTTTCCCCACAGACCCCCCGAGGAGCCCACCACCTGGACTGGCTACTTCGGGAAAGTGCTCATGGCGTCCACCAGCTACCTTCCCTCCCAAGTGACCGAGATGTTCAACCAGGGCAGAGCCTTTGCCACTGTCCGCCTGCCCTTCTGTGGCCACAAGAACATCTGCTCCCTAGCCACGTGAGTGCGGACAGGCGCGTACCTCCCAGCCTCTCTTCCTTGCCACAGTGGCTTTTCAGGGAGTCGTTGGGGGAGAGGACCATGGTGGGTTTGGATAGACCCAAGACCTGAGCGCTTCTTCTGTGGTGGTTCACAAAACCATCCATTGCCATTCCTGTTGAGCATTTATTGTTGATGAAAAACGTTAAGTGAACCCTTTGGCGACACAGAAACAGGCATGGCGATGGGAGCCGCCTGGGCCCTCCAGCCCATGCCTGTACTGCACTGCTGAGCATCACTGAGCGTCCTGCCGGATACCGCTCTAGTGACTAAAGAGACTGTGCACTCACCTGGCCACGCCCTGCCACTTGGGACATGTTGCATAGTCACGCCCAGGGGCCTCCAGTGCAGTGCCTGTCCTCTTGTGCTGCTGCTGTGAGGCTTGAGAAACTCCATCTGTGCTTGCTTTGGGAGGTTCTGCAGTGCAGCCTGCAGGAGCACCCTCCATCGGTGAGATGCATTTGTGAAAATTGTGCTCCTAGAACATGGCTGCTTTAATTCCCACTAGAATTCAGAAGATTCCCCGGTTACTGGTGGGTGCTTCTGACGGCTACTTGTACATGTACAACCTGGACCCCCAGGAGGGCGGCGAGTGCGCCCTGATGCGACAGCACAGGTGAGCTTCTCTACTGCTGCCATTATGGGTAAAAACCAGGGACTTTAAGGCGATTCCGTGTGTTACTTTGTGCCCTTTGAGGCTTCCCTCTCCCAAATGAAACTGATTCCACCTGATGCCAGGATTCCTTGGCTAGAGCAGAACTGGGGGTGGGTGAGGGCTGTGCTGTGGGTGCCTCTGTGTGAAGAATGGCATAGGCTACCCAGTCCAGCCTAAACTGGACCTTAGTGATAAAGGCCAGGGCACAGTGGCCTCCTCATGCCACACGGATCTCGCAGGAACATAGGCTTCAAGTTTCACATCTGTGGTAGGGATTTAGCTCAGTGGAACAAGCACCTGCATGGCAAGCACAAGATAATGAGTTCAATTCCCAGTACCAAAAAAAGAAAAAAATTCATGTCTGTTCATGTACTTTGTCTTTTTGACATTTCCTTGAAAGTTCTAACTAAAGCACTATAATACTTTCATAGGGTGGAAGTGGAAAAACGTTTTTTGATACTGGATTCAATCCTTGGTCATCCTTTAACATAAGATGCCTCACTCGGTGTAACTTTGTCCACTGGGCTTTCCATGTGAAACTCTGGGGACAGGTGCCCAGGGTGACTGGTCAGTGGCCATAGTATAAAAAACAGCAGTGTGCATGTGTGAGTGGCCTGTTGTCTGCATGTTGTGGCTGCTGGGTGTCCTTCTGGAAGCACTCAATCCTGTTCCCATGGCTCTCTCCAGGCTGGATGGCAGTATGGAGACGACCAGTGAAATCGTAGACTCTGCCTCACACGACTGCCCTTTAGTAACACAAACCTATGGCACAGCAAAAGGTGCTTATGCACCCTCTTCCCCCACGAGGCTTGGTAAGGGGCAGGACACGAACCTGGAAGGTAATTGATGCCGCAGGGACTGGATCCTTTCTCTGTGTTTGCACTGGTGTTGCCACCTTCTGCATGGTGTCAGAAAGGAAGTGGTCATCCTCCCTGGGTGGAAGCATGAGGGGAGACTGGTGGGGCTGTGTGGCAGGGCAGCATGCAGATAGGGACCTGAGGTCACCTACATGGTGGCTTTCACTCTGTGTGAGCTGGCTCTCTACACCCTGGAGTCTTGGGTGAGAGTCACAGGGATGGCATCCTGCTCCCCAGGTTCCTCAGACGTCAGCACTGTTGGGCTCCGTGTCCATGTAGCCAGTTTGAGCATCTCCCTGTTTGTGGGGAAAGCACATGGCCTGCTAACTTGGAAACCTTGCTCATTATGCATCCCTCATTTTGACACTGATGAATTTGGACAGATAAAGGATTTTCTCTTGTGTTGCCTAAGGCTGCAGAAATCCATTAGTCAGAGAAATGGTTCAGTTCAGGTCTTGGTGAGTGCAGCCCCAGAACCCATTGCTCATGCCTAGCACTCAGGGCAGCTCCTGTGTCCTTGCAGCCTACACAGACGACCTGGGTGCCGTAGGTGGCGTATGCCTGGAGGATGAGACCAGTGCCCTGCGCCTGGACGAAGACAGCGAGCATCCTCCAATGATCCTGCGGACTGATTGAGCTTAACCTTGAGCCTGACCCTGAGCGCAGAGAACAGGCTTGATGGAGGACTTTGTGCATTGCTGCTATGAACTTTGACCTGGACTGGGGGAAAGGATGGCAGAGACTTAAAAAGTCATAGTGATAGTCTAATTCCATACTTTTGAGAAAATACACTGTTTTCACTGCAGTGACTTTTAATCCTGCTTATGAATTTCAGCTCTTTGTTTTTTTTTTTTTTTTTTTTTTTTTTTTGCCAAAGTTAAGTGTCCAGTGAAGCCCAAAGTCTCCTTGCTTTGCATGCGTGATGTGCCAAGCCGGTGCCCAGAAGCTGACTGTCTGCACAGTGGAGCTCGGTCCTCTGGCTTCCATGTCTGTAGCAATGGCGCAGGAGGCGTGCAGTGCTCTGGTTTGGTTGTCAAAGCTGTTTCTGCTGGGTGCTGGTACACATCGGCCTTGGGCAAGAGTCCTCTTGCCCTGCAGCCCCATCTGGACCATTCTCCCCTACACACACTTTATTTTGTTAATTAAATTCTTTCCAAATTGGATTATTCTGGGATTCTTCCATGGCGGACTTCCATTTCTGATCTTATTCTCCAAGTGGATGTTGGGAGAGAGATGCTAAAACCCTTGCTCCCTGATAGGGGACTTGACTGAGTGCCTGGAATACCTAGAGCCAATAGGAGTGGTGTCCTGGGGCCTTAAATTGCCTCTCTTCCTCCTCCTCTGCGTCCTGTCAATTAACTGAGTTTATGGCAGGAGAGTTTCAGCTATCCTAAGCAAGCACATACATGACTGACTGCTGGGTGCTGCGGTACACACCATAATCCCAGCACTCAGGAGCCAAGGCAGGGGATTGCCACAAAGGCCAGCCTGGACTACGTAGTGAGACCTGTCTCAAAAAACCAAAAAAAAAAAAAAAAAAAAAAGTGAGAAATGGAGGCATGAGTGACGTGGTGGCTGTTGGCACCTTGTATCAGGTGATATGGGCCTTGTCTGCTGCAGTCCTAGAGCATCAGTTCGGCAGAGAGAGGTCTTGGTCACAGGCTGCAGTGCTTAGTTAGCTTTCCTTTTCATTTGCCTAGAATTAAAACAACCTTAGGCAACTCACACATCAGTGTTTCTAGCCAAGCATGGAATAATGCAAGTTTCAAGGGCTTAGGAGGTAGAGTTTGTGAATCTGCAGGTTCCACAGCGTCACCTAGGTGGGCCCAGACTTGTCCCTTAAAGTCAAAAAGCCAGGCAAGTGGCTTGCAGGAAGAGATGGCCAGATGCACCCAGGACAGACTCAGGCGTGAGCTGAGGTTCTAGGGACCAAAAATGTGTGTTTCAGAAGGGGCTGCATTAGAATGTGGCCCGTGTGATGCCTGCTTGATGGCTGTCAGGCTTGCAGGGGTTTGGGGACTTGGATCTGCTTTGCCAGCTTCATCTTGAGATTTGCCACTGAGCTATCCCCAGCTTCCCTTGAGACTGATCATCCCAGAGTTGTTGGAAACTCGTTTCTCTCTGATACCTATGCTGTCCTGAAACTTGTCAGTCCTGGCCTCCTGCAGGGAGGAGGTCCCAGTGCTGGGTGAGTGCTTTTCCTCCCAATGTCGGGAAACCCTCTAGAAAAGAATTTAGAGATCATCTGCCCTTCAATTTCCCTTCCAGTTTCATTGTCAGGGCCCCTTTTCTCCTGGGCCTGGAGTCTGTGTGTCACAGACAGACCTTGGGCATGGACAGGAGGGATCAGGGAGAGGCAAGAAATGTGAACCATGAGGTTGTAGGGTTCTCCACCAGACCAGAGGCCCAGGGAAAGGGACTTGAGCAGCAGTACTTACATAGTTCAGACCACTCACCAGAGGAGTTTTTTAATTGTATTTTTTCAGAAAAAGACAATAGAGCTCAGGATTGGATACAGAACACAGAAATTTTTGCATGAATTTGGACCAAATCTTCTGTTTCCTTGTTTTTGAGTATGAGGCAGGAGCTCACTGTATACTTCAGACTGGCGTTGGACGACTCTTACAACCCACGCTGGCCTTGAATTCACAGAGGTCCTCCTGCTACAGCCTCTCAGGGGCTGGAATTAGAGGGATGTGCCACCATGCTAGGCTTCTTTTGTGTTTTCTAAAGCAGTGAAACCAAGAATTGGATTAAACCTGGAGTCAGCCCTTCCAACAGCCAGCATAAGCTGCAGGGCTTGTAGGCGTGGTTCTGGTCTGTGGCGGGAACACCTTCCCTCAGGCTAGTTGCCAGCTTCAGTGTGACTGCCTGGCACAGTGCCTGGCTCATGCAGGTATACAATTATACAAATGCTGAAGCGTTTTGTGGGGTGGACACTCATTTTCAAAATTGAACTCCAGGCTTGGTGGGAGAGAGGTGGGAGTCTGGTTCACGCTGGAGGTTTTGTGTAGGTGTCTGACCCTGCCCTTCCTGCTCCTTCATGCTACCCCAGGGCGCATGTGAGTGGCTCTTGAGGGTGGTGTAGGGGACATGAGGAGTCTCCTACACGCAGGGCTCCAGTGAGAATGCCTGAGCTGTAGCCACCTGTGCACTGTTGACGGGCACTGACTGCCACCATCTCACCACCTGGTGTGTCGCTCTGGGAGCTGGAAGCTTTAGACTTGTGATGTCAGGCTGAGTTTTGCCCAGAAGGACCAGAGGAGACTCCTGTGTCCCCACAGCCCACAGAGGGAAGAGGGCCGTCAGGCATGGGAAATGCGTTCCTTGCTCCTTGCTACAGTATCGAGACAGGGCTGGCATAAACGTGTCTCTGTGTGTCCACATCCTGTGGGGCCACCCCTCTCTGTGCAGTGACCAAATCACTTGGTTTGAGTATGCATCGGCTGGATCAGGAGCTGAGCACCCAGCTGTTCTTTCCCAGCATGCTTTGTCTTCTTGTGGGAAAGAGACGGCGGCATAGGGGCCTGAGTCTGCCTGGGCTTGCAGGAGTGCTTGCTCACTTGGCAGTCATTGTCATTGCAGCATGCCATGACAGTGGTGGCAAAGGCCACTTGGGTCTGGTGAGCATCTGAGGAGCACAAACCAGCACCGAGCTGGGCCTCGAGGTGCAAGCAGCCCTTAGAGCACGGATATCGGGCCGGAAACAGCTCTGAGTTGGAAAAGCAAACCCTTTTCAGAGCTGAGAACCCAAGGGGACTGTTGTGATTCTTCATGCCTCTAATTTTCCTTCTTATAAAAAAATAAAGACCCAAAACTGAAAAGATTCGAAAAAATTTTTTGTCTTTATGTCAGTGTATTTTTGTATTTTCCTTTCTGGCAAAGCTGTCGGTGTACCAGGGTGTACTGTGGGGTATGCACGCATGCATGGGTGCAGTGGGTGTGCTCACCAATGACGTTCACAGCACATCAGAAACCCATTAGGAAATGATAGCCTGTATTCTGATTCTTTTCACTCACTGTGTACTCCCAGGCTAAACAGCGAGTTTATAGCTGGTGCTGATTCTACTGAGACTGTTACAGAAAGGTGCAAATCCTGCTCGTCTAAAGGTTTTCATCCAGAATTCACATTTGTCTTGTATGAAATGAATTCTTTCCACTAGAATTCATGACCTTACCTAAAAGTGTAAGACCGGACGGCCAGGAGAGCAGGCTGAGGCAGGTGAGTCTCTTTGTACTTGCCCTCTTTGTACTCCACCCCGACTCAGGCCACAAAACATTGGTCAGGTGGATGGCCTACCTGTGCTGGGCACAGACAGCTGACCTTGCCCTGGTCCATATGCAGCCCAGGTGTGACTTAAGTGCCTCCTTCAAGGCAGTGCTGGTGGCTTCTTCAAGAAGTGGGGCTGCCTGTCCAGGGTGATCTCGGTCCAGGGCTTGCCGTGGAGGGTTTGCTGCCTGCATCTCCCACGCTGTCCTGCTACACCCGCTAGCTGCAGTGGTGACAGGCATTGGCTGGGACATGCATGGCTCCTTGAGACTACCACACCCTCCTGGGAGTGGCTAACGTCACATTCCCCAAGGACAGTTGACCCCATATTTAATCATGCTGGTTTCAGTTGCCTTTTGGAACATTTCTTTCAACTACATTGCACTATTTTTTAATGGATCCATTTTTTAATGGATCAACATGAAGGTGTGCTTGAGTTCCTCGTAACAGCCGTGCATTTTACTCAAGATACTTGGAAGGCAGTGACAGGACGGAGGAGGGTGGACTTCGTATTTATCTTCTGGTACATGTTTGTAGTCCATTATAATTACCCTCAGGGCGGGAGTTGGTGCAGGCGGCGACCTTTCGCAGTCCTCACCCGCCCCGCGTGGCTCAGCCTCTTCCCACACTTACCCATTTCATACACGATTGCCTTCCCCATAGGAACTTGGTGCTTGTACACAGCACTTCTAGTTCCCCCCTTTCCTAACATCCTCTCCCTCCATCCTCCATCTTCCATTCCCTTCACATAGGCCAAAGACTCACCTCACTATTTCCTGCTGTCATTTTCTCGTTTCCCACACACACGGCTATCCTACCTTTGAAAACGAAGGGGCCGCATCTTTGGCTGCAGGAAAGGCAGCCTCCATAACAAATGGTGCTGGCACACTGGCTCCCTATGGGCCAAAGATTGAATGTGGACCTCTACCCTTCTTCCCACACCAAACCAGAAGCTAAATGTATCAAAGATCTGAATACTAAACCAGAGACAATCTGCTGGTAGGTAAGGCTGAAGGCAAAGGCAAAGATCTGAGTAGGGTGGTAGGGTTCTGGGCATGTAAGCATAGCACTGGGGCTTCACCCAGGACCTTTTTGCTGAGTAACCCAGTCTGAGCTTGAACTTGGAATCCTGCCTTAGCCTCCCAGGTTTGAGATTTATACAGGCGCATACCACCATACCTGGCTGACAACTTATTTGTGAGGTGCCTCACTCGGGACAGTGAAGGGGTCACCAAGGCAACAGCCCTCCACCCCATCACATCTCTGCTGCCTGGGGTGAGTCGGCATTTTCTGTTGGTAGCCTCACCTCCAATACCCTTTCGGCCCCATCCTATTTAAGAAGAGTGTGTGTGTGTCTTTGCCCTGTGGAAGAAGGGATGTGGTTATCCTCAGTCTCAAGACAGCCATGCTCCATAGGCCCCCTGGGAAGCCAGCACCCTGCTGCTGCTGTGCCCCAGAGGAAGATGCAGGGCCAGGCCAGCCTCTGTGGGGAGAGAAGATGCAGGCTAAAAACACAAACATCCTGACAGGGATGTAGGAAGCTAATGGGGTGGGGGGATTATTGACCCTGTCACTAAAAAATGGGCTAAAGATACAGCTCAGTGAGAGGTCCTGGTCCCAGCATACATGACTTGCTTACCTGTCCCTTCCTTCCTGTCCAGACAGTGACAGTGGTGTGGCTCACCACTCGTGACTATGGTTAAGTCAACTGCTTGGCCCTTGTGGGTTGGAACTAAATGATGTCCTGGGTGAGGGTGATGCTGCGTGAGAGGGCATCACCCCAGGATACCCCCACCTGGGGCTGCCTCCTGGGCAGGGTGAGCAGTGGGGGTCTTGGGAGAGCGAGCGCCTGGCCTAGCAGGCCCTGCCTGGCCTCTGTGGCTGTCCTAGGTGGCTCGGTGGAGGCAGCCTGGCCTCACCCCCCGCTACACTGCTTCAGAGATGCAGAAGTGCAGTGCTCTCACAGCCCAGACACCTCCTCCCTCCCTGGCAGCCTTGGCTCCTCCTGGCAGGACAAGTGGCCCCCATGAGGACCCCCAGCCCTGATCTTTCTGCCCTGGTTACATCAGCAGCAGCCATGGAGATGCTGTGTCACCATGGCTGACAGGGAGAGCGAGTCCCAGCACAGCTTGCCTGGGCTGGCCCTGCCTCTGCTGGAGAGGAAGCACGGGCAGCCTGCCTGTCCACCCCAGGGCCCCAGGCTGCCTCCTGGAGGAGACATGGTTGGAGAGTGGGGCTGCTCGGTGCCAGATCCCCAAGGGCCACCAAGTCACCAGAGACCAGGACAGGGAAGGATAATAGCACCATACATGGACAGGCTGTCCTAGAGGGCCCAGAGGACCACAGGGACCCGTGTCACCACCATAAAATCAGGCAGCTGCTGGGGACCCAATGACACTGGCCTCTGCTTACTGAGTCTGCTGTGTGCACAATGTGGCACAGATACAAGGTTCCTCCTCGCGTCCATTTGCTTTGCTGTGGAAGGTGGTGCTGCCCATTGTGTACTCCGCCCCAGAGAGCAAGTCGCCTACCTGCCCAAGCACGCAGAGCTGTAAGTGCACATCGGGATTCTGACCCTGTTGGGTCTCAAGCCATAGGGCCCCCCTTTCCTGCCCTAGGAAATACAACCTGGTACCTCCTTAGAAAGTTCTACAGGGTCACTATCCACCCAGCTAGTCCCCTTGGGACAGGCATCCAAGAGACATGGGCTTACACAGGCACCTACACATGGGTGTCCTTGGGGCATCATCTGCATCCTCCAGAATGTGGGAGTGGCCCATAGGCCCAGACAGATGGATGCCCCCCACACTCCATCCACAGTGGAGTACCTTCAGCCTTAAAAAGGAGTGTAGTAGCCTGTAATCTCAGCACTCTGGGAAGCTGAGGCAGGAGAATCCCAAATTGGAGCCCAGCTTAGGCAATTTATAGATCTTGTTTCTAAATACATAAATAAAATTGAAGGGCTGGAGCTGTAGTTCAGTGAGAAATTCCTGGGTTCAATCCCCAGTACCACCAAAAAAAGGAATGATGGCCAGGCGTATGGAACTGCATGGATGAAGCATTGCTACCAAGACACACACACATGGTTGCATTTATGGGACATGTTGGGAATAGGTAGACCCCAGGGAGGGGGACAGGGACAGGCAGCAGCAGAGCAGTGGGTGCCAGTGGGTTTCCGTGGGAGAGACTCAAGGGCTCCACAGACAGAGGTTGGGTTGCACGGCATGGTGATTGGATTCATCGTGTGCCAGAAGGAGTCATTTCCTGTGATTTCAGTTTGTAAGACAGTAACAGGCACTGCCGAGCAGAGGTGCAGTGCTTAAAACCTTTGAGGCCGGGGACCCAGGCCGGGAACACAAAGGAGGAGGAGTGTGCTTGGACCGGAGCTGAGGCCTTGGCCCTGTGACCAGCTGGTGACAGTGTTGAAGGCAGCTGACCTGAGTCTCCTGGTCTCTACCCTGCCACCCCACCTAGGCCCCTCCGCCTTCAGGACCCCTGCTATCCCTGGACACCAGGCACATATTCACCTGCCAGCAGTCTTTTATTTTTTTTTAATCTATAGTAAATTAATTTATCTGTAGTGCTAGAGATTGAATTCAGGGTCTTCGCACTGAGATACATCCCCAACCTTTTGTAATTTTTAGGCAGGGTCTTATTGAATTACTAAGTTGCCCAGGCTGGTCTCAAGCTTACTGCCCTCCTGCCTTGGCCTCCGTGAGTGCTGGGATCACCACCATAACCCACTCATGAGTCACCTCAAGTGAACAGAAGCAGACTGCAACTGAGCTGCAGCTCAGACATAAACTGCGGTAACAGTTTTCTGATCATAAGCATAAGAGGCTGGCTTGGACATCACAGAGGCAGAACACAGGTCCCCTTGGTGGTCACAGCCAGAGGCAGCTCAGGATGGGCACTGCGGGGTGCTCCTTCAGCGACTTCTCTAGATGAGAGATTTCCCGTGCTGATTTCCTAAATTAGCACACAGCTCGACAACGACTTTGTGTTCTCCTTGAATTATTAATGAGGATTTTATTTTTCTAATCCCAAAATTGGACTCTGCTGCCTGACAAGGAACTCGTGTGTTGGGCAAAAGAAGTCGCCAAGAATGGCAGCTACAGAGGGATGGAGACTGCAACCATGAGGTGGGGGCTGGAAAGCACAGGTGGTACATGTGGGACATTGGCCTGTAATATGCACTTTGTGTGCATGTGCGTGTACACGTGTGTGCATGCATGTGTGCATGTGTGTATGTGTGTGCATGCATGTGTATATGTGTGTATACTTGTATGTGCCATCATTGGTCTGTGTTTTTTTTTTGTTTTGTTTTTTGTTTTGGGGGGTTTTTTTTGTTTTGTTTTGTTTTGTTTTTTGTCTTTTTCTTTTTTATCGGTACCGGGGATCGAACTCACGACCGCCTGCTTGCAAGGCAGGTGCTTATGCTGCTGAGCTAAATCCCCAGCCCCTTGGTCTGTGTTTTTTATTTGTATTTTTTTGTCTTTTTGAGGCAGATTTCACTATAGTTCGGGCTGGCCTTGAACTCACTATGTAGCCCAG